TACTGTAGTGCACCCAAGTTGATCCACTGGAAGGCTGCACTTGGCATCTTAGGATATGCAGTTAGGACTAGTTCTTTCGGGATTTCTTTTCAGAAGGGGACAATTTCAGGGTTTTCTTTGATCACGTTCGTCGACGCGGATTACGCCTCGCGTGCGGCGGATCGTAGGTCGGTTTCAGGGGGAGTAGTAATGTGTGCGGGGGGAGCGATAGCATGGTTTTCCAAGACTCAGAAGTGTGTGACTTTGTCCACCACGCAGGCAGAGTACGTGGCGATGGCGGACATGGGGAAGGAGATTCTTTGTTTGAGGCAGGTTTGGCGCTTTATGTTGCCGAAGGAGTTGCGGCCGTGCATTCCACTGTACGAGGATAACGAGGGTGCTATCCAGATCGCAAAACACCCGATCTCGAATTCCAACTCGAAGCACATCGACGTGCGGCATCACTTCCTCAGACAACTGGTAGATGAGAAGGAGGTAGAGATCATTCATGTAGCGTCGCAGTACCAGCATGCTGACTTCCTCACGAAGGCGCTACCTGAGAGGGATTTTGTGTTCCACAGGGACTACGTGATGAACTTAAATTGAGCAGTCCCGGAGTTTTTTGTGTTGTGTTTTTGTTTGTGTGATTCTTTCGATTTGAGTATATGAGGAGTTGATTTTCTACGAGTTTGAATTCAAGAATGGCCGATGGACATTATATTTGGTATTTCTGTTTTGATGGTTGGTTGGGAATACTTTCTATCCGATTGAAATTCTAAATGAGCAGTCCTGGAGTCTTTATTTTTGTTTTGTTTTTTGCGTTTATGCGATTCTATTGAATTGCGATTTCTGAGGATTTTCTACGATGTTGAATTCCAGGGTGACCGATGGATAATCTCTGCAGTGTTTCTGGTTTAATGGTTAGGAGAAGAGTTTCAAACCGGTCGGAGTTCTAACGAGTTTTGTTTCGGGTTTAATGGTCATGGTGTTTTGGCGAAGACGAAGCATGAGATGGATGGAATGTTAATCACTAAGCCTTGCGTTCAGGTATTTGGTATAATAAGAGGGTATGCATGTGTAAGGTAGATAAATGAGTCCGGGTGTAATCTTGCCAATGCAGCGAGTAGGGGGGCTGTTGGATGTACTCACAGCATCAACAGATTATTGCGAGCAAGAATTTCCCGAGCAGATGGAGCGGGGAGTTTGGGGGTTCAATGGTTGCTATGGATTAGATTTGGTGGTACCAACTTTATCACATATTGCAGGTTTGAGGGTATGGGTGTCTACAACGGAATTTGTGTGCGTGGCTTGTGGTTCCTCACTTCCTTTTTCTGTGTATAATCAATTCCTTTTTCCGGCTCTCACGCCAACCCCGGCTTCCACGCCCATACTCCGGCTATCACGCCAACCCGGCTT